TTTTTTTTTTTTTTTTTTTTTAATTTTGATCCCCTAAAAGATAAATAAGCCACAGGTCGTGTCATTCTGTTGCTTTCGATGTAAAAGCAGACCCGCGGAAAATACTAGAGGGAGGGTTCTTCCAACAGTTCGTGGAAAATGCATTTTATGAAAAATGCACAGATTTCAGGGAGTTTTTTTCGCACCAACATATGCTCATTTAATTCCCTTCTTATGTGGATTTTTAAAGAATTTTTAATTTTTGTTTTATGTTTATTATTGAATTTTACCAGAGAGAGAGAGAAAGAGAAAGTGAGAGTGCAAGCTGCCAGGTCTGGAACTCCAACAGTGGTGGGCCATGTGGGAGCCCAGGGCCATGTGGGAGCCCAGCACCTTAACCACTGCGCCACCAGCTGGCCCTTTCATGCATTTTTAAAAAAGAATGATTTCCTTTGTTTTCTTTATCATTATTGTTACATTTAATTTGACCAGAGAGAGAGAGAGCAAGAAAGCAAGCCACCCAGTCTGTGGACTTCAACCATGGCCAGTCACGTGAGAGTCCAGCGCCTTTAACCATCATGTCATTTGCCGACCCCTTCATGTGGGTACTCCTTTCAAAGTACCTGCACTGGGTATAATAGTTACACAGTTTAATAGGCGAAGATCGGAGACTAACTGTTCAACTTGGTGGGCCGTCTAAGAAATGGAAGCTAAACAAGGCAGGTGTGGGCTGGAGAAGTAGAGATCAAGTGTAGGTTATGAAGCATTGTTCTGCAATGTGTGTACTTAAGGTTGGGCAGCTTGCTGCAGTGTGGGAGCCAGATAAAGAAAGGCCTTGAATGTCATGCTGAGAAATTTGGGTTGATGTCGACTGGAGTGCAAGGACTCTCCATGTTTAATCAATAAAATGCAATGCCGGGGACTCCAAGATGGCATCAGTCGCAGCAGTGAAGGAAAAGAAACTTACGGATGTCAAACTTGGGGTGCTGCCAAGCTGGGTACTGATGCCGGATTTTACCCCTAAAGGCATTGCTGGAGCGTTTCAGAGAGGTTACTACCAGTATCACAACTAGTACATCAACGTGAAGAAAGGGCGTGTTGCTGGGGTTTCTATGGTGCTGGCCGCTTATGTGCTCTTCAGCTACTGCCTTTCTTATAAGGAACTCAAATACGAGCAACGACGCAAATACCACTGCAGAGGGCCAGCATGGAGGTCAGACACTGAACCAGACCTTCATCTCCTTGGCTTAGCACCCTTCCAAAGGATCTTGTTGAGCACTTTCATATCCTAGCCAAGAATTCACATCCAATAAAAGATGGCTGGAGGGAACCAGCAGTTAGCATAATGGCTATGTCGCTGGATTCCCACATAGTCAACCACGGTTCACTTCCCGGACCTGATGGCTTAGACCTCATGCCGGGCACATGTGCATGCGTGCCCAAGATCCCGAGAGGAGAATGGAGGAGAAGGGATTGCGGAGTGACCATCTCCCCTGGGGGGTGATTTCTCGCTTTCTGTCTCTATGTCTCTCTCTGTCTGTCTGGTGCACGCGCCCTATTGAAAAAAACTCTCAAAAAAAGTAAAATAAAGATGACTGGTATGTATAAAAAAAAAAATGTAATGCCATTTTTCAAGTACGTTCACATTCCAGTATGACTAATAGAATACAACTTCATTTAAAAGCCACATTTATACATTTTTCCCCCTTAAACATTTCATTAAAAAAAAAAAAAACCCTCTTCTAGAGGTCGGCAGGTGGCATGGTGGTTAAGGATGCCAGACTCCCATATGACCAACTGCAGTTCAAGTCCCAGGACCTTGCAGCTCTCT